TTACGGGAAAGCAACCTTTCAGTCAACAACTGCATAGATCTCCTACCACATCATTATGGAATGCCTGAAGGATGAGATGGACATAAGGCGGAGAAAAAATCAAGCGGCATATAAAATGGGCTATTCGTGTAGCAGTGATCATATACCATCACCCAACATGATTGTACAACAGTGCCGTGGACACCGTCTTCCATGAAATGCTACTTTTATCGACTTCCAAGCTGCGCTAGACACATTATATCGTCCAAAGAGGTGGAAGATACTGCGGCCCTGCGGTATTCTACGGTACAACGGCACCGAATGTGCTGTGAAAACAGAAGGCGAACTATTTGACTGCATGAAATCAGAAATGGCGAGAAACAAGGTGACATCCTTTCGACGATGCTGTTCGGTGTTATTGTGGATTGGGTGATGAGGCAAATATGTTGACAATCTCAAGGGAGAATGATTGACGTTAAGCCAAAGGCGGAGTTCAAGGTACCCTACCACACACCTCACGCATCTCGATTACGTGCACGACCTCAACCACTCAGCGATATCAGATGTCGCTACATCCATTAACAGGGCTAGTTCAGGACTTCGTAGAAGGACAGGTTTTAGATTCAGTCGAAAGAAAACGAAAGTGATGAAGAAGACAGAAGGAACAGAAAAGAACGATCTCTTTGTGCATGGAAAAGAAAGAATTGAAAGAATTCGACTAGCGAAAATATGCTAGGTTGAATATTACAAACGACGGCCGCTGCTGAATGGACGTGACTAAAATGATCTCATTAGCATTAGATCTCATTAACAGGGCTAGTTCAGGACTTCGTAGAAGGACAGGTTTTAGATTCAGTCGAAAGAAAACGAAAGTGATGAAGAAGACAGAAGGAACAGAAAAGAACGATCTCTTTGTGCATGGAAAAGAAAGAATTGAAAGAATTCGACTAGCGAAAATATGCTAGGTTGAATATTACAAACGACGGCCGCTGCTGAATGGACGTGACTAAAATGATCTCATTAGCAGAGGCTGAATTTGGAAGTCTTTGGTAGATGTAGTGGCGAATGAAATGAAGATTTTCATGATCTGAATCTCGACCTTACTGTACTGCTTAGAAACAGCGGCCTTGCTGCAAACAAATGATTGTTGTCTAAACGCCTTTCAACAACCCCATCTACGGCACGTTATCGGCGTTCAGTGGCTCCAACGAGTAACGAACCAAGAAACCCTAGCCAGAACAGAACTACGGGAATTATTTCATTGGTCCAAAAACGAAAAATTTCATCGTTTGATAATACCATGTGCAAAGTAAAAACATCAGCTGCTCAACCCCCAATCCTACGATGGGATTCTAACAACCGACATTGCCGGTCAACATCGAATTCGGAAAGATCAAATCAAGGCGAGCCTGTAGTCAATCGGAGTATCTCTCTGCGTTAGAATATGACTAAAATTACGACCCTGGCCTGTCTCCACCGGTGATCATTAGATTAAGCAGTAAGACCAAGCCAAAGAGCTTAATTGACAATGACACATACTCTATGCAAACGGTAGACATCGAGGATTAAGCATTTCTGACACGCTAGTGCAGTCCTTGAGCTTATCCATTAAGCCGATACAGAGTGATCTGACTTTTTTTCCTGGAGTATTCGACAATCTACAAATTATAGCTATGCTGCTCTTTGACGATGTAGAGGCCAATTTCCATTTTCTACCTGTTGCATTTCCGCTGGAAGTTATACCCTCACCAGAATTCATTAGCAATCATCGATTATTCTCGTTTGAGGAATTTAAGATAAGTGACTTGCAACCGAGTTTCCTCCTTAGCTATTACCGAATTTACTATTGCGGGAATGTCGGGTACGGTGGGAAAAGAGGTCGCATTCGACGATAGCTAAAGTATTCCTCACTTCTGTGTATTTCGTGACAGATGGTCTCATGAAGGTTACGGACTGACACCGATCGTCGCAGCAAAAGTGCATGAGTTATTCACTTCAAGCAAGGGGTATTTCCATGCCATATGCCGTATAAACTACCGTTTCTAAGGTGCGGAAATGTGCAAATTGACAGAAAATCGTTGCACTTATTTTAGCGAAGACTCCAGTTTGTGAGAGAATAAAAAGTAAGTGTAGGCTGGTTGCTGCTCTGAACCAGGAGTCGAAAATGTTGAGAGCGGATTAACGCTTTTTGCATTATTCAGATTATTCGTTTTTTACCCATGGTTGGTTCCTTCTGCTCCTTTCTTAATCAACATTCTCTTTTGAGTAGTTTCGAAACTTTCTTTCCCTCAAGTCTAAAATCATTACTGTCAGAAATGGTTTTCAAAAGCGGTTGTACAGCATTGCACCCAGCGATTTTTAAATTTCTCAATAAAATAATTGCAGTACGCGAGATTCGTCAAAGAAGGCCAAGCCAGGGAGGTGTCTAGGTTTATATGGCAATAACGCTTCATTTATGAAAGGCAGTGAAACTCTGTTTAATAGGCGGTGATGTGTTTTCAGGTATGTGCACCAATTTTAGAATGTTTCATGCAAATAACTTCCTAACCTCACGAATGTCCCTGGCAAGGATGACGGAAAAGACACGTCCTCAGATTACATGGTTAGCAGGAAGTACTAGTAATGATGTGGCTCTATGTATTACAGAGAGAAAATTTCGATTGAATTGATATCAGTGATGCAGACCGATGCTAAGAATTCAGTCGAAACGCAGGATTTGTGTTACACCGAGAATTTGTTTTTTTCCGGATCCCCCTGACAATGAAATAAAACTGATCGACTTCAAAAATGTCCTATCACTTTCCAGCCTGTGAACCTAACTAATGCCTACTACCGTAGTACACGAACAGCAGTCCGGGTCTAAAGTGAACCGACATACCATATCGACGCTGTTGATTGCGTCTTCTCCCGTTTTCCATTCAAGCTCGTCACTGATTGGATAATGTGAACAATACTGAAAGATTTCTCCGGCGACACGGACACTGCATAACTGATTAAGGCTATGCTGACTACATCTTCCTGATGTCATCGAACCATGAAGATGCCAATATGTCCTCAAGTGGAAGTATGACGTGGGTGCAACACCTGGATCAGTCATCAACGAAAATATGCATTTTTATGAAATCCGGTAAAAGAGAAAAAATCCTCCTGCGTGCGACTTCCTTTGAAGAAGTTACCGTCTTCAAATGCCCCCCATGGTCTCTGAAGATGAAACTACGACTTGGATCGTAACAGCAAATGGATGTTCCTACAGCTCTGCAAGTAGTTGTTAAAACGACTAGAAATCAGTCTGAAGACGAAGTGCCGAGTTCCGCAAGCCTCCATTCGCCTTTACGGATGTGAAAGCCGGACCCTATGAGTTTGAAACAATGCTTATGTATCATACTGCGGAAACGATTTATCGACCATATATCCAACAATACAATGCGCAACAGTTGCAACGTTACCCAGTTCCCTGTCCTGAAAGAACGGCAACTGCGCT